GAGTCTCTCAGAGCGGCGAGTCTCTCAGAGCGGCGAGTCTCTCAGAGCGGCGAGTCTCTCAGAGCGGCGAGTCCCTCAGAGCGGCGAGTCCCTCAGAGCGGCGAGTCCCTCAGAGCGGCGAGTCCCTCAGAGCGGCGAGTCCCTCGGAGCGGCGAGTCTCTCGGAGCGGCGAGTCCCTCAGAGCGGCGAGTCCCTCGGAGCGGCGAGTCTCTCAGAGTTCTAATCATGTTTTTTTTTGTGTGTTTTTCTTTTTTTCCTGCAGAACATTCAGGAGTTTTTGATGGAAGGTCAAGGACCCACAAAGAGCCACAGGTAAACAGCAGTAACCTGGGGGGGGGGGGTCATCCTGGTTTGGAAGCAGCTTTCACTCCCCCAGTGGTTTCCATAGCAACCACCTGTCGTCTCAAACTGTGTTTTGGTTTTGTTTTACTGTGTGTGTGTGTGCTTCTGTTTTGGCCTCAAAGTGAGGACATCCAGCTGCTGGGTAACAGGAAGGCGGTCCTCACTACATATAGTAAAAGCAGAATGTGTGTGCGGCCCAGCGGCCCATAATCAGGGAGAATCAACGTTTGTGATGTTTCTGCTCATTTAAAGGGAAAAGTTTACGACACAGATTAGATCATCACGTTTCTACTTCTGATTTCCTTTTGTGTTGGTTTCTTTTATGACTTGATTTGTTCCTTTTTTAACTTAGATGTAAAAAGTAAAAAGATTCAACTAATAAAATGAAAATAGTCTTTAAATCTGTTAATTTTTTAAACAACAGAAAATTCATGTTAAAACTGTTTTACTCAGAGATCAATTAAATGTTCTTTATTATTTTGAAAATCTTCATATTTTTTATTTTCTTTATTTAAATTCCATTTTAATATATAAAGTGAGGAAATTATAATGAAATGTGATTTTAGCTTCTTTTCCTATTCTGTGTTCTGCATTTTATTCTCTATTCTGAGGGCCGTCCGTCTCTCAACGTTTTTCCTCCACATCTTTTTCCAAATGAGGTTGAGAAATGTTTGCTTTGTGTGTTTAGTTTGGGGGAAATGAGCGCAGAACGCTGTGTCACTCAGTCATGTAATGATGTCTCCAGCAGAGAGCCCATTAGTCCGGGCTTCTCACACTCAGTGGTCCAGCTTGGCCCACTTCAGCTCAGGTGAACACCAGTGGGCTCCTGTTAATGAGCGCCCGCCGTGAGCAGCCGCAGCGTTATGAAATGTCTCCACCTGCAGCAGGAGGACGAGGTCAGCGCTCACTGTTCCTCACCCATTTATTGGCCCCACCCATATACTGCACTCATCTTCATCATCATCTTCAGCAGTTTTTAGCAGGAAAGCAGACGGTTTAACTTTGGGTTTAATCCAAACCTGGAATCACAGACTCATCAGCTTCAGAATAAGAATTCAGAGACTGAACAGGAAGAGATGTAGAGTTTCTGTTTTCCTCTCTTCGTTCTTCCTTCCATCCATAATCTCTCCGTTTTTCCTTCCATCCATAATCTCTCCGTTTTTCCTTCCATCCATAATCTCTCCGTTTTTCCTTCCATCCTTTGTTCCGGTTCCTTCTGGCAGCTTGTATAAGATGGTAAATCGGTCACTCGCTCATGTTATCAATTCATCCATCTATGAAGCCTCCTGCCAGCTTCTTTTATTTCATAGCAGGTCAGTGGGACACCTGAGCTTTCATAACCCCCCCCCCATCAGACCCACCGTCCACAGCGTTAGTTTTACTCACCTGTTTGTTTCTAGGCCACCGGTTGGTTCATCATTAAGGCTTTGCTCTGTCTGAAATACTTGGCCTGTTCATGACCCACATTCAGGCACAGTGGTCACTGTAGGTCAAAGGTCACTGTAGGTCAAAGGTCACTGTGGGTCAATAGTCTCTGGGTCAGTGGTCACTGTGGGTCAATGGTCACTGTGGGTCAATGGTCACTGTGGGTCGGCGGTCACTGTGGGTTAGCTGTGGGTTTGAAAACAGCCACCTGATTGGCCGGTACTCTGCAAAGATCTGGAGGGAAACGGGTTCTAGATTCATACAAGCAGGGAGAAACCTTTGGAAACAACAACTACAGATTCTGAGATGTTTGGTCCAAACTGCCCGTCCTGAGGTCTGGTGCTGCAGATGTGTTCCTGATTTGCCCTGATGTTCAGGAATCGCCAAGGTATGGCCATCCAGATGTTCATCGATCACCCTCATGTCATCCTGGCATCCAGAGTTTCTCCTGGAAGCGAGTTGATGTTCAGAGGAGACAGATTGGAGCTGTTTGGACTCAAAGAGAAGAAAGATGCTTAGAGAAGTGAACAGTGAGGCTCTCAGAGCTGGAAACATCTCAGGCTTCATGTTCCTATCAGAGGCTGGGATGGATGGAAGAATGGAGGAGCAGCTCCATGTTCCTCCATCACCATCGATCATTGGCTGAGAGGCAGAAACACCCACATGTCACTAGTGAAGGAGAACATTGTCCTCACTCTGAGGCCGTCACAGGAGAGAGCCCTGAGCTCCAGGTTTTAGCTCCAGCCCTGAGCTCCAGCCCTGAGCTCCAGCCCTGAGCTCCAGCCCTGAGCTCCAGGCCTGAGCTCCAGGCCTGAGCTCCAGGC